ATATATTATATAATATATTTCTAAAATGATAAGCAAATATTGTCAAAAACCAAAAACCAAGCCCATTGCTATCGAGTAGATTCTGAGTGTTAAAATGCTGTGAAGAAAAATATAGCAGGATAAGAGGTTAAAGAGTGACTCTGTATGTGTGTATGTGTGTGTGTGTGTGTGTGTGTGTGTGTGAAAAAAATGTAGCTGATTAAAGGCCTTTCTGAAGAGGATCTGGAGGATAAGTATCAGACAATCAACTAAGGGATGGGAATAAATAGAGAAGGGAAGAGGACTGAAGGATTGAACACTGAGGTATGCCAACATTGAGTGGTTAGAGAGAGATGGAGGAAGCAGCAAAGGAGATGGAGAAAGGTTTGCCAGTGAGGGGAAATAAGGTACCCTAGAAGCCAAGAGAAGAGTGTTTCAAGAAGGGGAGTGATCAACTATAAAAAAAGCAGACAGAAGATCAACTAAGATGAGGACTGAGAAGTGACTTGGATTTGGCCAGACATAGCCCTCTCCCTTAAGGAGCTCACAACCTAGTTGGGTGGAAAAATAAGGAAATAGATAAATTTCTACACAATGGTGGAGGTTGAGTTCTAGAGATGCAAACAAATTTCTGGAGACGGACTGAAGATGGAGCAAGGAACTCTTCTTGCATAGTCAAGGAACGCTACATGGAGGAGGTGTAGCTTTTCTGGATCCTGGTAGGTAGGAAGAAGGGATAATAACCAAGATTCACAAAACCTAAAACAATTTTTTCCACCTGCTTGTTGATTTTTCTACAGTCATCCATGTAACACTAATATTTCTGCTCCCAAGTTAATATCCCATTACTATTAATCCATGTAGTCATACCTGTCAATTACTGTATGATAACTATTTTATTATTATGACCAGTCCCTGGAGAAGGACATCATGCTTGGTAAAGTAGAGGGTCAGTGAAAAAGAGGAAGACCTTCAATGAGATGGATTGACACAGTGGTTGCAACAATGGGCTCAAGTGTACAATAGATAGTGCAGGACTGGGTAATATTTCATTCTGTTGTACATAAGGTCGCTATGAGTCAGAACGAACTCGATGGCACCTAACAACAAAACTATTTTGTAAGGACAATGCATATACTCCATCACATCCCAGTTCATCTGGAGGATAATTTTTTAATTATATTTTTCCTTGTTGTTGTCTTTACTTTTAATTAAATTTTAATTCCTTTTCAGAGTTGTGTGCCAGTGTAGAGATCTTATTCTTAATAATAATAGCTACCACGTACTTAATGTTTACCATGTGTGAGACACTGTCCTAAGAACTTTACACATATGAATTTATTTTTACAAACAACCTATGAAGCAGATACCTTTATTGTCCATGTTTTTCAAATGTGATAAATGAGGCACAGAGAGGCTTAGTAACTTGCTTGAAGTCACACAGTAAGTGGCAGAGCCAGTATAAGAACTTGTGTCTAAAACTCAACATCTTGAGCACTATGCTATATCTCCATCTTTACTATTATATTTCTTCTTTCCTGCCATGGCCATCTATTAATGAAAAATCTCCTTCAAGGGATAGGCTCTTTTTGAGCTGAATGGCAATTTTCTAAAGACTCAGTAACTAATTGTAGGTTGTCATTTTAGAGTGGACCAGTAGGACTCAGGGATTGAATACTGATTCCAAATGAAGTTCTTTTACATTGATTGTAGATTATCATATGACTGTATAAGGATTCACATTCAATCAAATGCTGTGTGGGGAGGGTGGTGGTGAAAGAAGCTAGAGTTTTTGTGATGGAGAAGACCTTTTTGCTAATAAAAATGATCACCTCATCACAATCCTAGATGTATGTGGGTCACATCTTCATTCCCTTTTTAACTTAACTGAAAGCACATGAGATGATTGCTATTTAAAGAGGCACAAAGTGTAAATCACAGCAACAATGTTGAGGAATGCCTACTATGTGCAGCCAGAACCAGTTGCCATCAAGTCAACTCAGACTCGTGACAAACACATGTATATCAGAGCAGAACTGTGCTCCATAGTGTTTTTAATGGCTGATTTTTTGCGAAGTTGATCGTCAGGCCTTTCTTCTGAGGCACCTCTGTGTGAACTCAAACCTCCAACCTCTTAGTTAGCAGCCAAGCTCATTAACCATTTGCACTACCCAGGAATTCCCACTATATGCAGAGTGGCTGTGATTTGCTAGAACAAACTTCAAGATGTTTTGATGCTCAAGCAGCAGCAAGTATGCACATAATTGAAATATAAAATAACTTGATCTAATGGAGTATAGCTGGGGTCCAGCCTTTGTTTGATCTCTAATGTGTTTTTTTTTAAATCGGCTGACTTTATCTCTGATGATGGTTTTCTCCTTTTCCTGACATTTGCACTGGAACTGGTTCTCCCAACAGATGGGAATTTGGACACATAATTTTCATAAGCCTTTGAAGCCTCTCCCTTAGGAGATTTTGGGTTCCACCTTTGATCTAAAAGTTCATGAAATAAGGTACCAGCCAGGTTTCCCTTTTGTGACAGAAAGAAGGTCTAGAGTAAATAGTCTTTGCTAAGATGTTTGCAGGTCAAGAAGCCGAGTAACTTTCTTAAAGCACGATCCGCTAATTTTATAATTAGTTTTTTTTTTTCCGAGATCAAAGTCTACCTGCTATTTTCTTTATTCTGTTCTCATTAAAATGTTCTTCTGTGGGCATAGGCATTATATTTTCAGAAAAGCTTAAGGGAGTCAGCATTAAAATTTGCTCTGAACTTCTGCAAATATAGAAAAACCTGCTGAGAAATGGATATTATTCTCACTGTGTTTTTTTTTCCCTATGTACTATGTAGTAATGTCATAAATCACGTAAATGTAAGTGGAGGAGGGGATTTAGGTGATTGTTCAGCTCTGGAAAAGAAGCTACCTCCTGTAGAAAGAGGATTTCAAACGGCCACATAGCGAACTAAGCACTCACACAGGTTTCCTGTGGGCCGTTTCCCCTTTGCTAAACCTAACTCAAAGCCAAGGTGAAGGAAGAGAAATTTTCCTCTGACAAAATCTCACATCTCTGATAATTTGCCACATCCATCACTAGGTTCAAAAGAGTTATAAAATTTAGGCTAGTGTAAGCTTAAAGAATTTCATAAACTTGCATCTGAGGAACTTAATAAGATTTGTGCTAGCAATTTAGAGGAAAAGTAAGACTCAAAATGGAAAGACCAAGACAATGTTATCACACTGACCAGTATACCTACAAGTTTTGGAACACTCAAAAAATATAAGTTGGCTGAAAGAACTAAATTGTGGCTACCACATCTTAAATGTCATGATTTGAAATATTTTATGCCCAATTTTGTCCTTTTGGGACATTCTGTACTTTAATATGATCTAGATTTTATTTTTATCTTTTATGTTTACTTTTACTTTTTTTAAACATATAAATTAAAAAAAATTTTTTTAATGAAACATGTGGATTAACAGAGATCTAAAACCCTTTAATACTTTTCCCCCCATTTACAACACCAGGAAAACGGAAGTACAGTATTATGGCACCAGTTGTTATTGAAAAATGAGTGTTCTGATATTAATTAATCTTGGCGTTTTCATTTACGAGTGGTGTGAGGTGAATCTATGAAAAGCAGCAAGAATACTTCTTTCACCAGTTGTGTGTCTAATGGTAATATTTTCCTTTGCAAGAAAGAATTGTGATGCCATCACACTACATTAAAAAAAAAATGTTCACAGTGAAAAACTGATAAATCTTCAGGCACATGTTGAGTTAAAATCTCTGGCGCCAAAGCCTAGAAGACAGTTGAGGTTATTTCCCCAGTGTTATTCATTTGATTTAAGGCGGGGTGGAGGGAAGGTGTTGTAATACAAATTGATGTACAAATTGTTCCCCTAACAATTCCAGCAAACTCCTTGTTGTATGTTATGCCAAGCTACCTGGTTATTGCCAGGCCCACTCCCAGTAATAACTGAAATGAGCCAGGCCCCTCTGCGTCATTCACTCTGTGTGCAGGCAGGCTTTCCACCTTCTCTTACCTGCATAGTGGTCAAACACAGTGGGCACGTACTCCTCTGGGAAGGCGTCGTTGGCGTAACTCATCAGCAAGCAGGTTTTCCCCACGGCTCCGTCACCCACCACCACACACTTCAACATCTTCTTCTCATCCTTGCCACCACAGGCGCAGCTGCTGTCATTTCCCTCTTTGCAGTTCATTCTTGCGGCTTCAGCTGCTGTGACTCCTGCTGCTGCTGTTGCTTCTCCTGCTTCTCCCAAAGCACATGAAGCGGCAGGAAGCAGAGCCAGGCTTGAGTTTACTCTGCCTTACTTTGGATAGCTTGGCTCACACAGACATGGCCGAGGCAGCTGGTACATGCCCTCTTGCTTATCATCCTGGTAAAGAAAGGTAACACACACTTGGGGGAATGATGAGAAGGGTCTGTCCCTTTTCCCTGTCAGTTTAAGCTAAGAAACCCTCATTTTCTCAGAGTTCTAGGGGCTTCCTGGCAGTCTAGAAATCTCAGCTGCCCCGAGGGTTTCACTCTGCTCTCCCCTTGCCAGCCTGGTTCAGGACAGTGGAATTTTGCTAAATCTTTCCCATTTTCCACTTCACATCTAACATGGAGGAAAGCTGGGCTTTTTAATGGAGTTTTCCCCTTGCTTCCTTTAGTTTGCCGAGTGTCAGGAAATCATGGGTTTCCTGCTGCATTCCATATTAGGATCAGTGGGCTGGGAAGGCTATAACAATGGGAGCTCTGTGTGTGTGTTTGTACTTCTGGGGAACGATGCCAGGACATGGAGTGGGAAAACACTAGGGGTCCCACTGCAGACTCAAGCTGTCAGACTTCCTGTTTCATCCACTGCTGTGGGGCTGTTTGCCCGCGGCTGGCTGGGAAGAAGCTGACGACAGGATGAAAACCCCAGGAGGACTGTCTGCCACAGAAACAGAGGGAACGGTTTAAGTGAGCAAGAGAAAACCACACCAGAAATTGTAGGATAACATATGACATCATCCCTGACTGAGTCACCAGTTTAAAGCGCTGCAAATTAAAAACGGACAGTTCCTAACATACTTAAATAAGAAACCTTCAGCAGTGCTTCCCTGCAATAAAGAAGAAAACCCTTCAGAGTTACATTGTTTGAGAAGGAAACATTTTTGTAGGTCATAGGGAGAGTATGAGTGATCAGGTTTATAAGCTGCCACACTTGAGCACCGCACTCAAACGTGTTCCAGACACAAAAGTTTCTATGATTGTAGCACATAAAAAATCAATCAGATGTTGGACAAACTTGCTTCTTCTTATTAGTACATAAACACACATGTGCTTGGCTCACACTTAACGCTCTTGAAAATCAGAGTGGGTAGGACGGCTTTTTGGTTTGTTTCAGGTCCTCAAATGCTGCTTTAGCTTGGAAGTTTCGCTTTTGGATTTAGTTCTCTTCCCTTGGGTCCCCTTGGCCCTCTTCATTGGCAGCTAATTTATTTGTCTGTTGGGTCACTCAAAATGAAGCCCCTTTGAAGCTCTGTATTCGATTACTGTACTTGGTCTCAGAAAAGAAGTGGAATTCTGTAAGTGATTTTGACAAATAGATCAAATATTGTTTGGATGGAGAAACTTTTTATTTGAGATTTTTGAACGTTGATTTTTAAGAATTCAAATTATTCAGTTGCTTTGGGGAAGTTTCTTTTTTGTTTGTATGTTTTCTCCTTTTTGGTGGGAGAGAAGTCAGCTGTAATAAGTGGCTATCAATAAAAGATATATATGTTTATATATATATAAAACCCGTTGCCCTTGAGTTGAGTCTGACTCATGGTGACCCCATGTGTTTCAGAGTAGAACTTCATTCCATAGGGTTTTAAAGGCAGTGATCTTATGGAAGTAGATCACCAGGACTTTCTTCTGCACTGCTGGGTGGTTTGGAAAAGCTATTCTTTTGGTTAGTAGTCAAGTGCAAGTCATTTGCACCACCCAGGGAGCCTCATAATATATATAGCCACAAACAAAACAACCCGGTGCTGTAGAGTCAATTCCAACTTATAGGGACCCTATAGGCAGAGTAGAACTGCCCCATACGGTTTCTGGGGAGTGCCTGGTGGATTTACACTGCTGACTTTTTGGTTCGTAGCCATAGCTCTTAACCACTACGCCACCAGGGTTTCCATATATAGCCGTATCTAATATATATGCCACTGTATAATAGATATAGCCCCAAATTTCTTGTTTTCACTTGTAGTAACATTTGCCATAGTGCTTAATGTCCCGATATTTCTTTCTTATAAGGGATGGTGTTTCAGTCAGGTTGTGGTACATCAGCTAGGTTATGTGGCAGTAACAACCAATCCCCCAAAGCTCAATGATTTAAAGCAACACGTTTCTTTCTTTTTTTTTCCTGCAGATTTATTAGCACATCACTGCCTTGTTGCCATAATTCAGCAAACTCATTTTTTTCTTACATTTCCTTCTATCAAGCTATATTTCACTTACTTTAAGAAAAAAATCCTACATTTACTATTAAATATCTTTAGTTATCAGGAATGTGACATGTTGATTAAATGTTCTAAAACTGTCATAATTCTTATTTTTTAAAATAATATTTTACTGTGTTTTAGGTGAAAATTTACACAGCAAATTAGGTTCCCCTTTAACAAGCATTCTCATTATTTCTATTCTATTTGTTCTGTTTCCATTAATCTAGCTTCCCTTCCCCTCCTTGCCTTCTCATCTTCACTTTTGGGTAACTATTGGCCATTTGGTCTCATACAGTTAATTGTTTAAGGGAGTACATTACTCATGGGTGATATTATTTATTTTATAAGCCCATCTATTATTTGGCTGAAAAGTGACCTACAGAAATAGCTTTAATTCCAAGTTCAAAGGGTAATCTAGAGTGATAGTCTAAGTGGTTCCTCCAATTTCTATCAATCCAGCAAGCCTGTCCTTTTTTACGAATTTGAGTTTTGTTCTACACTTTTCTCCCATTCTGCCCAGGACCTTCTATTGTGTCCCTGGTCAGAACAGTCAGTAGTGGTAGCTGGGTACTCTCTAGCTCTTCTGGTCTCAGGCTGGAAGTGGCTGCGGTTCATTTGGCCAATAGTCTTGTGGGCTAGTTTCTTCTTTGAGTCTTTGGTTTCCTTCATTCCCTTTTGCACCAGAAGAGTAGAGAGTATATTAAATGTAACATATTTATTTCTTGCTTACACTATACCACTATTGTTTATTATTGTCATCTTCATTCAGGGAATCTAGGCTGATGGGACCGCCACATTGAGAACACTGGTAATCACTGTGGCAGATGAAGAAACGAACGTGGTATAGTAGCACTGGCTCTTAGAGCTTCCTGCTGGAGGTAACACTTCTGCTCATATTCATTGGCCAAAGCAGGTCATATGCCCATACTTGACACTTAATCCTACCAAATGTCAAGAGGGAGTGAACCAAATATCGGTGAACAGCCTGAATGACTGCTAGAGACGATTTACTTGAGGTTAAGTTTTCAGTGTGGAAGTTGAATTGTTTACGTTTAGTGCCATTCTGAAGCTTTTGAAGTCACCTATGATGACAAGTGATTTATGTATACTTGTTTTCATTTAGTATACCTAGAACATCTAGAATATATGATAATAAAATTTCAGTTTGAAAACTTTCACGTTTCTTCTTAAAACACAGGCTGAGTGTGAAGGTGGTAGCCAAACAAATCTGTGCAGGTAAAGGAATGATTGATAGTGTCAAGAGCCCAACCCTACAGATTAACATGATCACTTTGAGCACAGGGTTATGATATGTGTTTGGCAGAACTTTGAGGGGATTCTGCCTTTGACCTTGTTCCTGAGATCAGGCAGTATATGTGGCATGGCACTCCATTCAGATACAGAGTTCTGAAACATGGCTGCTCAGCCTGATCAACTAAGACCCTGCATTCCTCCACTGCAACTATGCCCCAGCTAACCTAGGACTTGGCCTAGGAAAAACTTGAGAAATTGGACTGAGGTGAAATTTTGGCACATCTGTGTGTAATCTAAACCTTGTACTATCGGACCACAGATATTTAAGTACATGCCCAGATTGCTACGTGGACTAAAAATTAAGAGAATTAAACGTACACATGAATAATATTGAATCAGCAAATGTTGTATTATGTTTTTTTACAAAAATTTTAAAAAATTAAGAGAACTGAAGCAGCCAATTATGGGTCCTAAACCTCTAACTCAAAAGACTGGTACATTTGCCAGATTGGATTGTATGCAAAGATAGGTCATGACCATGGAGAATGTTATCTATATTTCTCAAAATAAACTTGTTTTGGTATTGTTTACTGCCCCCTAAATTGAATATTTATGGGTAAAAACTTCTGCGACACCCTAGCAAAAATGGTAAAAAGGTTTAAATGTTAATATCTCAGCTTGTTGATTATGTGGATCATAGTCTCTATTTCAGAATAAATCTTTTTAAATATAAAAAGATTGACCTGAAACAGAATAATAGAATCTTTAAAAATATGTAAATGCAGTTAAACATTGTTCTTTTAGGTCCATGAGTCCTTAGAAGTGTGGTTACTTATTCTATTCTGTTCAAGAATATACTTCAATTCCAAAGCTTATAGGTACAAATTTAGAAGTGGTATGAAGACCATTTGCTAACATATTCTTTTTCAAATGCTTGTACTTTTGGATGCTGGGCCATATAAATGATAGAGTGGTGGTTACATGACCATTAATTATTTGGTTTACCTCAAGCACCAAGTTTACACAGACTTACCAGGACATGGTGAAATCTTGTTGGGTGATTTTTTTCCTGCTGTTCCCAAGAGATCTTAATTCCTTGGCTCCTTCTTGTCCTCTGAGCTTTGACTTCCCATGAATATCCCCAAAAGGCAGCAGAGCATTTTTTCATAAAATTCTGACTCTTCTGATTGTTTCCAATTTTACTGTAACTTTTATAAAAGAGCTCAGACTTCTCTCCATTTCCCCCTGCCCCTTGTGATTAAAACTACAAGTTACACGATGCAATGGGATCAGATACTCTGATTCTGAATTAGGAGGTAGTTTTGACTCTAATCTTAGGAACATGGACTCTGCTGTTGTTATAATGATTCCAGGCAGGATGCCCAGCTGAGCCACAAGCCAGAGAAAGCCCTCTCTGGGGTCAGTATGGGTGTTACACCTGCAGTGGTGGTGGGGCAGTGTAAGTGGAAAGGGGCTGTGTAGTTCTAGGTGTTCTGACCCAAACCTCCCACAGGGCCTAACCCTCCAGGTCAGTTGGGGTACGGCTAAAACTGAACAGGCTGTCCTAGGACTGACCTGGAGTGGAACCACCCCTCCCCAAGGGGGATGAGTCATCACCATCAGGGACACTCATGTGTCTGAATTTTTTATCTGTTAGGCCACCTGCATTCAGACTCTAGCTGTTGCCCATATCAGTCATATTTTCTTAGATATTATCTTTTTATAGTTTCAGAGACGGCTTTCTTTTTCTTGCTTAGAATACTTCTTTCTCTTTGCCCAAATCTCTTAGTTCTGAGAGAAGTAGGTTACTTGGAAATCACAGGCAGATGGAGACTTCCATCTGTCCTAGGAATGAAGAGGCTGATTTGGCCAGTGATGGTAAAGATATGCGGGTGTGTGCATGTGTATGTGTACGTATGTGTGTGTTTCTTCTGAAGTTCTTGATTGCATACC